GTAAATTTCATGAATACTCACAACTGTAAGGAATTTGCAGAAGCAAAAGGAGCCTTGTTACCCTGAAAAACATCAGAAATATTTGGCTTAATTTTTTTTTTGTATGCTATAAATACAGCCTCTAGGATTATTGGGACTTAATGTTTCAGGTAAATTCATTACATGATTATAAATTTACTAAGTCTCTACATAGCTCACATTACAATATTCTGTGTTCAGCTAGCTTTTTAATCAATATTCCCTTAAAATTCCTGCCCAGTTAGCTCAAAAGATGCTGTTGTCCATTGCTTGCCTTTGCTAAGATGTTCTTTAATGTGAAGACAAGTTCCAAATAATCTTGAGTGCATTAAAAAATCAGTACTGAGTTTGAAACATTATTTTTTGCTGAATGTTAAGTTTCTTCTGAAATCCTAAATAAGCTTTTTAGTAATGAAGGACAATATTAACTGCAAAGTGAAACACTGAATAACTGAAGGAATATATGCAAATAAATTAACTGTTGCAATCCAGTACACTTAGTTGTAATTGAATAGTGAATACTTCTTCTTGACTTATTTGTAGGAAGGTAATGAATTAGTAGTTGACATTTTGTTATGATGAAACGTCATTTTGCATGCCTGAATATATGATCTGTTATTTTTCATGGGGTCTATTACCTGCTTGAGTGAGCTACTTGTTTGAGCTTGCTAAGTAATAGCTGAAACTACCATAAGCCATGTCATGTGATGTGTTTCACCCTAAGCAGGACAAAGCTTGTCGAGCTGAATTAGTCTTCATGCAACTCCTAGGACTTCACTGGAGTTACATCAAAAATAATTAATCTCAGAGATTTGTTTTACTTAATCATTTATCAATTTTAATGAAATCTTTGCCACCTGTGTGAGACGTTTTACAGAAACAAAATATTTCTTACACTATTATACTTACTATAAACAGCAAAATAAAATGGAGAAAAATCCCTTTTCCTATTTTAAATTCATGTTTACACTGAGTTTAACTCACAATTGACAGCTTGAGCCAGCACAAAGCACTCATTAAGCCTCATATTCCCTTTCTCCCCACTATAGAGTCCATCCTGTGGCAGGAAAACATCAAACCTGAAAAAGTATCATTTATGGTAGAAAACCCTCTTGCTCCCAGGTCAATATACAGCATTACTGGAACAAGTTGCTTCTCCAAAAGAGAATGCATTTCTTTATTCCATTTCTGGTTATGGAAGGAGCTAAGTCAGCATGTCTCTAGTTTCATTTTAGATATTCAACTATTTATTTGCTTCTATGTTTGTGCACTTTGGAGGTGGATGTTTCCTTGGCCTAGAAGGGGTTGATTGCCCTGTTAGGACCAGCTGGTGTCTAAGGCACTGTCAATCCCACAGCACTTTATGCTTTATGAAGTACAAATTCTCATCTAGAACACAGCTGCAATCAACTCTGCTCTGGCACCTGAGAATTTATGTCTTTAAACAGGATGTTTCGCAGAAGGGTAGTATACAAGCAAGGCCATGAACACCAGGCACCAAAGGTACTCCAAAGCAGGCATTTTTTTTCTTTTACTGTGTTTTTATGCATATACTGCACATATTTCTGCTTTTGATCTAAATTGAAAGAAAAAAAATAATTTGTAAGCTTCACTTGTACATCTTTTTATTCACTTGTTATTTTACAATATAATTTGGTTTTAACTCCAAGTTTTCTATTTAGCCCTTTTAACTAAAGCAGTCCTCCCATTTCAGGATTTCTGCACTATAAAATATTTAGGACAGACATCCTGCCATGATCCTAATACTGAAAAGAGCAATGAAGTTTAGAATAATACAGATATGTTAAAAATGCATATTGCAAAGTTGAAAGTCATATTCTCAGACATAGCAGATAGCTAATTTAAATTCAATAACATTATTGTCCATTTTTCAGAACTATTTAAGTGATCTAGAGTGTTAAGATGGATGGAAAATGTTTTCAGCTTCCTCTGTTCCTGCTGACAGAAGGAAATCAGCATCAGTTAAAGAGTAGCCTTAGGGAGGAAAGAGTAATGTCAAGATAGGGAGAAAATCTGGATACCTAGACCTGCATTGATCCCTAATTAATAGCTATTGATCATATTTTTTATTGGAAGAGTTATGCATTGTTGAGATGAGCATCTCTGCTATCCACAACTTCCTCCAAAACAAACTATCTGATATCCAAAAAAGCACAAAGACTAGAAGTTTGCCTTGGAAAACTCAAGCTAGAAATATAGCTCCAGATTTTAATAATGTAAGTAAACTTTGCATCAGTTAATTTTGTGATGTTGTGGGTTACTTTAAACAAACAACTTTTGTCTTTCTAAAACACTTTTTTTGTTCAGTGACAAGTCTATTTTGATTGGAGGTAATATCTATTGCATGGTTTGTGTAGGAACTCAGGCTAGGAAATGGTGATAAACAATTTTGTCCTGAAGACATATGACTATATTCTACATTTTGTGCGCTTTTAATAGAGATGTGTTTTCATTTTTTTTTAACAGAGAAAAAAAAAAATGGAGGGTTTTTTGTTGTTGTTGGTGGCATGGTTTTATTGTGAGGTGTTTGTTTTTTGGTTTTTGGGGGGGGGGGTTTGGACATTTTTACCTGCCTACAAACTGTACTTATTTTCCATCTAGAAACCTTTTGAGTTTCTCTTCACATCCACTCCAAAATCTGCCATTACTTGCCTATAAGACCTGAATTTTATGGTCTAGCAATGGAAGACTATATTGGAATACTTATGTGCAACAGCCTATAATTCAGTTGCTATAATAAGATACAGCGTATCTCATATTTGTAGCTGACTTGAAAGACTGCTGGTGTTAATATCTGAAATGCCCACTTTCTGAGAATTTTCAATAGCATTTTAGAATGATATGTATTACACAGGAAAGTAACACAACAATTATTTTAGATTAGCTGAGTATTTGTTAGAAGTATGTTGTACTGTCAGGAAGTGCTTATGCCAATGAGCTTTGCCCATCTGTGATATCTTATTAACAGTGACGGCACTGGACCCATCTTTTTAGAATTATCACAGTCTCTGGTATGTAATATATTATGTATTGCACAATATTTTTAATGTGCTATTTCAGTGAATTGCACTTTTTGTGTATTGAATTCTCTTACCTTTTCTTAATCTGATTTTGTTTAGGATTATCTCCCAGTACATCAGCTGCAATGTCTGCTGGAGATCCTGTTAATTCATCTAGTTGCTGTAAATTCTACAATTGAACCTTGGGAAAATGAGCTCATCCAGTGATCTTTTAAAAGAAGATAAACTGAAAGTCATGGAGTTTACCATATGGTTTCATAGATAAGGTTAAAAAAACCCAAATCACCAACCCTGCACAGTATCATCTTTTCACAGGCATTTATTATCCAATGAAATATTTTGAAGGCAGGGTGTGGCTGGCTAAATTATTGCTCTTCCCACTGCTCTCTGCTATGTTTCCAGTTTCAGAGGGAAAAACACAAGCTTGTATGTCGAGAGTGAGTCATAACCTCTCTTCTGCTACTGACTCACTTGGGAGTTTGAGGTAAGTCATTCTACCTTGTGTCTCAATTGCTCTGCCCTCAGGACAGCAAGGAGAGGACCATGGAAAATTATGCAATGTTTTCATAGATGAGAAGTGTAGATATTGAAACCAATATTATTATTATTCCACAGTACAATAATAACTTTGTGTGCCCCCAAATGGATTTTTTTTACGCAGCTTATTTCCTACAAAAAACATTCCTTTCCCCCCCATTTTGTTATATAAAAATTTAAAGAAAGACTTCGGTTACTGAAATGCTTTAAAATTATAGTATTTCTTAGAGGAAAGTGTATGCACCTTTTGTCACACTGTTCTCTTTTGCACCAACAATGTCAATAGTAGTGTTATACAATGGTGCAAAATTACCGATGACTTCTGAAGTCTGAGTTGGCCCTGAAGAGTGTGGAGTTACACGCAGCACTGGCTTCTAGTCAGGTATTTACATGCTGTTGTGGTTGTTTTGCAAACATGGCAGGAAAATGCTAAACTTTAAAAAGTGAACTTTTAATACCTGAGCATATTCCTTAGCATACGTGATATCAGAACAAATATCCACCAGTTCTAATCTCATATGTTAGGATGCAGATAGTCTATAACTTGGCTGTCTTCCTACTTTTGTTTCCCAATAAACATATCTATCTAAGTATCTCACAGTAATGAGATATATTAGTAAAGTATATTTACTAAACCATAACAAAAAACCTGCTTGTAAATTTAAAGGAAAATACATTTTAAACATAGACAAGCTTTGATAGCGCAAGGTGACATACTGTGACAAGCAAGGCAAAGCATGTAGGTTGGGGACACCAGCACACACATGAGCAATAATTGCAGTACCCCACAGTGGGGGCAAGAACGGAGCATGAGGCTGATGATCACATCAGTCTGTGCCATGGGAAAGAAATGTATTTCCTATATGGAGAAAGTCCAGGTAACACTGCTTGGCAGATGACAGCACAGGAAGTAGTTTGCACTCTAGGGTTTTACTTTTGAAAACTGCTTGTTGTATTCTTCGTGTTCTTTGAATATTTCTGTGTGCCCGCTGTGGAGTCCTTTTTATGGATATATGTGCATGTTACCAGACAGGGGAAGGTGAGGGGTGGAAGAGCAGGCGGGGGCCTGCGGCGCTCCACGTGCTGCTCCCCGCGCCGAGGCGCAACTGGTGGCGGGCGATCACAGCGCCGCGGCCAAGTCGGGAGCAGCGCTGCGCCGTGCGCCGTGCCCCGCACCGCTACCAGTGCCGCACTGCAACCCCTGCCCGGGCGGGAAAGCCTCCCTTTCACGTTATCCTGTTTTCTTCCCTTCTTGCCTATTTCTGCCTGATGGGTTTAGGTCTCTTGGGGGAATTTCCATGGCTGGAGGCCCGGCTGGGGGCAGCGAGGCGTCCCGCGGCCGGCCGGCCCCCCAGACCCGGCCCCACGCAGCCCAGCCCTGGGCGGGCGGCAGGACTGCAGAACCGCCGCCAGCCGGAGTGGGATGTTTCATTGTCCGGAAATGATGGAGAAGGAGTGACTGTGGCGGCGAGGGGACAGCGGGTGCGAGTGCCAGGCTGTGCGCGCCACTGGCTCGGGGGAAGGCCCGCGGGCGCGGGGCGGGAGAGGAGGCGGCAGCCGGGGCGGACGGCGCGGCGGTGGCAGCAGAGCGGGGAAGCAACGCGAAGGATCCCACGGCCGGGACGCGGGGGAGGGCCGGGCGGCGCGGCGGAGCGGGAGGAAATGCGGAGGTAGGGCGCGCCGCGCTGCCGGCCGCTCCGCCGCGAAGGACGGGCCCCCCCGGGCGCCCCCCGCGGCCGCCCGGCTCCGCGCCCGCGGCCGCTCCCGCCCCGCGGCCGCCGCCCCCTGGCCCCACGGGCGCTCGCCGCAGGGGGCGGGGGGCGCGCCCGCAGCCGCGCCGCGAAGTTGCCGCCGCTTCCTTGCTCCCCCTCCGCAGTCCCTCGCCCCGAGCCGTGAGTTTTCTGCATAAAATACGTTAACGAGCCTTTTCTTTTGCTTTTTCCTTCAGGGTCGCGTGTTAGTTTTGTTGGAGAGGGGTGCAGGCTCTCTGTTATTCGACGCGAGAGCTGGCAGATGTCCCAAGTGAGAGAACCTCTTCCTCCGGGGCCTGGAGGGCCAGCTCAAGCTCCAACTGAAAACAGCTCTTTGATCTCTCTCCCTCGAGGTAAGTTGCTTTAAAGTTTCTCTGTAATTGTTGCGCCTTTTATTTGAATGATACATTTACTGATTTGTTTTGAGAATTTTAACCCCTCTTTTCTTTCCTCTTCCCCTGCCCTCCGCTCTTTAGTGTGTCTCTGTAGCACTTTCACTTCACCTCTTTATTGTTTTAACCAGAAATTCCCATATATAAAGAAAAAAGAAGGTGCAGTGATCTCAGCACCAGTTTTCAGTACTTGAAAAACTGCAGTTGTTCAGAGGCAGATGCTGCTCCTTAAAAATCCCTTTCCTGTTTCTCAGCTTTGTGTTTATGTTTAGAAGCTCTTTGCTCTTTCCTGTAGAGCTCTTCTTCCAGGTCTTGAAGTAAGTTAAGGAAGGTTGATCCAACAGCAGGAGTGTTGTTCAGGTTGGAGGTCACTTTGCTGTTTTTTTGTTAGATTACTCTGTGACGCTGCAGCTCAAGTCAGTTTCTGAGAATATAACCTGTTTCATTTCAGCTATTAAATAGATTGTTTAAAAGTACATTCATCTTAAAGAGAAATTCTTTAAGTTATGTCTTATTTGCATTTGCAGAAAACATATTGGTACTCTGATCACCTTCATGTAGGGAAGTTTGACAAAGTGTACTGCAGGTTATCCTCAAAACTGGAAGTATATTTGCCTCTCAAGTCCTGGTCTGTGAAGATGAGGAGTTTTTTTTTTTTATTTGTTTACAGCTACAACCTTGTTTTCCAGAATTCTACAGGAGTTTAAAAACTCTCCAAAGAACAGACAAATAAGCTTGTTGAAGAACTGTAACTTTCTTCATAACTGGTTAACTGGAGCAGAGCCTGGTAACACAGTTGTGCAACTGTGGATTAAGGATGTAGTCGTGTTTTTGTAGCTTGGAAAATCAATAGCTATGTGAAATCAAAGCTGGAGACTCATTTGAGAAACCAGAAAGTATCCATAGCTAAGTAAAAAATGTTTTGGCAGGGAGACATAGCAAGTTGGCTTATACTTATCTTATTGTTGGTTGGTTTTTTTTGTCCTAGAGAATGACTCATAACTTCTAAACAGTAAAAAATAATAATAAAAAAGGATTAGATACAGAAGATCAAGCATGCAGAACTGAACTGTTAGAATCATATTTTTACCAGAACCATCAGTACCTGTGATATGTGTTTATTTTCAGTGTGTTGTTCTTATCTGTAATGTGATCAAGTGGCCACACTGGTTAAATTCTGCATATAGGCCATAGATCAAAGTTACTCAAGTTGTAAGTCAGTGTACTAACAAGCATGGAAAGTGGTCTCATTCTCACAGTGCCACTTTAAACTGAGTTTTTGCTATGAACTAAAATCTTATGTAAGATTTTCAATACATGCCCTTCTGTTTTTTTAATGAAAAGTAAGTAAACAAATACTGATCTGTCCACTGACAAGTTATGTGCAAAAAGTCTGAATGACACAGTTATAGCTGACAGCTTTCTTAGGGATCGGTAAGGTACAAACAAATAATGATTCAGGTTTGCTCACTGGCCACACCTTTTAAGGCACATGCTCAATTTTAAAGCATATGTACAACTCACATAAAGACAAGGTTGTTTTTTAAACAAAATTCAGCATTCAAATACATAATTTTTATTCTAATGAACTTAGATTTAAGGATAACTGTGGATATTTGTTGCTTTTTTCTAGCTTAAGTCTGTTGGGGAAATGGGGGTGGAAAGAGGAAGAGGTGAGTTCATAACATTTCCAGTCTATATTCCAACATTTCTGTTGTCAGCTTTGCAGTGTGTGGTTACAGGGTAAGGTAGTTCAGATATTCCAGGGCTGAAGATCTAAGACTAAGTCTAAGACTTTCAACAGCCCCTATCCTTTTATTTTACCCCCAGGACACCTGATATTGTGCTTTCTCTAGAATTTGGCGATAATTTTAAAAGCTGTGATTGAAATTCATATTATTTCTGGAAATGATTCCATATATTCACAGTGAGATACTTGAAATCTCTGTCCACCTAGAAGTACAGATTCCTTTATCAGAAGAAGATGGCTTATGTTGTATGAATATTAAAGTATTAAGGGCATTCTAATGGGAAGGAATTTTTGTTTTGTAGCACCATACTTTAATGTGCTTTCTATATTTGTTAACTGGTAGAGACACCTCACATCCTGAGAACAAACTTCTTCTCTTCTGTAGTTCTGTAAAGTATAGTCAAAAATCCAGATATTCAGTGTTTCTTTTGCTTGCTATCATATGCATTCAGATGCTGAAGATTAATTGTATTTTTCCAGGAAAGGAAATGAAACTTCAATTGAATTTTGAATATTCAAAAATAGCTATCCCACAGCCTAATTGAAAATCAGACAAAAGTAATCAAGCTTAGGCAGATTGCGAGTATATTCATCAGGTTGTGGATGTGGTGAAAACTGTGGGTTTGAGACATAGTTTGGCCTACTGCATAGGTGTGGCATGCTCTGGCTTTCACAATTAAAAGAACTTTTGTGTGTTACTTTAACCAACATGCTCTCTCAATGTCTCCCCCATCACTGTTCTTCCTTGGTAGTTCATTTTTTAATGAATGCATAAATATTAGTGAGAGTATGGAACTTTGCCCCTTCATAATTAGTGTGCTGTGAGAGAGAGCAAATGGAATCAGTGTATTTTTTTGTGGCCATGTCAAAACTCAACTTCAGTCTTTAAACCATTGTCTGTGTCAGTGGAGTCTGCTGCTCTAAGATACACACTACAGGATAAAAGGTTTAACCTAATTTCTGCAAACATGTTAATTGTTGCTACATGCCTCCAAAAGTGTAGCTCTACTCATGCACCCTTGTTCAAGATCCTGGTCATGCCCTCTCTTCTCCTGTAGCTCATTGTCCTTGGAACCAAATTATGACTGCTTCTACCTGTGTGATATAGTCAGCAAATAGTGTCATATCTATGCTCAAACTGCTGCAGTTTGGCTGTGATCAGGTATTTTCTCAACTGGTACATACCAAAATAATGGTACTAAGGAAGGAATGTTACAATTAGTGACCATTGCACACTCTGCTCTAAGGAAAATGTTCAGTGTGTTAGAGGTTGTGGTGTGATTATTACCTGGACCGTGGGTAGACTTTTTAATTAAATCCTCTGCACTTGAATAAACCATGGAATATAAGAGAGAAATTCAGTGGACATAGAACTGCATTTAGAGAATCGGGCCACATTTTAGAAAAATTATAAAGTATTTGGAATGCTTTTACCTTTGCTTATTGTTTACTAACTGTAACCTAGAATAACAAATGAATAATATTTAAGTTTCTAAATTCAGAAAGAAAGTAAAAACAATAATAATAGTAATAATAAACAACTTATGAGATTGAGACTTATAATTGTACTTCAACTCTTTAGATGATGGAAATCCACTAGAATTTTTTATTTTAATGGGGGGTGGGGAGGATGATGGAGATGTCTAGTAGAAATATTAAGGGTCAAGTTCTTTAAGTGACTTTTCTCTCTGGTGCAAATCATCTTGTGGTTGCTGGATACCAATGCAGTTCCGAGTTGGTGTCTGAAGAAACCATATTCACCAATACTTCCATTGAGAAAAAGTAAAAAGTACCCTTCTTCAAGAATGTGATTCAGATCTCTTTGTGTTTTCTATACTTAACTATTTTCATGATGGGGAGCACTAAAGGAACCTGCTTAGACTGGGTGATAAAAGACTTAATGCAGGGAAAGTTTGGATGTTCTTGAGGCAACAATGATTACTATCACCATAATTATTCCACTTTACCAGCAGTGTCTCAGTGTTATGAGTAATAGATTTTTATTTTAACCGTTAACCGGTGTACTCAGATTGCTCAAACTTAGCAAATACTTCCTCTATATTTGTGTTCCCACTTGCAATCTGACAAGAGTCAAGAGAATCTGTGTTAATTTGTTTCATTGCTGTGTGCCAGTACTGAGGCATTTATTGAATATTACTGACTAAAATATCTAAAACTTTGGTAAATAGGCATCTGACTCTAGTTATAGTAGATATATATACTACTTCTGCTTTCGGTTTCACATGCATACTGTTCTAGTAAAGTGATTCATGCCCACATGGGTGTGATAGACTTTTACTTCATAGAGTTGACTGTAAAGGTCTTGCATCAAATTTGAAATACTTTTTTTCCATCTCATAGGCTAATTTTATATCACAGTAATTCTTCTTAAATTCAACTCCAGGCCCTCAGAAGTTAGATTTCTCTTTGCTTTAAACTTTTTTCCCCTCTAATAAGTAACATCCAGCACTGATCATGTTATCCTAGTGTTTTTATTTGGATCAGCAATGCAGTTTTGAAGTAAATCTGCTGTTCACCTCCGCTTTTGTTTATGTTGCAGAGTGATCCTAGGGAGTGACCTGGATTGAATTCCTTTTGCATAAAATAGTCTGAAAGATGCACTGTAGGAATGTGCCTAATACACTCTGGCCACTAATAAGCCTTGAGTTTTTGAGATTAATTCTGAGACCTAGTCCAAAGTAGAAAGCCCCTGGAACATGTGTAATATAGAATGCGTCCTTAAGATTAACTCTTTCACTGTACAGGTCCAGTTTTACTGGCCCATGCTGTTGCTAATACAGCCATAGCTACCAAGTATTGCTTAGCCCTTCTATGAGACTGGTTTTGTATGCATGTGAAACTTTGTTGGATGAATGACATAAATTTGTAACTGACAGCATAATTAGTGTGTTTATTTGTGAAAAAAAGTTTTCACTTATGTATTTATTTAATATTTCTAATAATGCAGAGTACCTATTTGCATATTGCTATTAAATTTTAAGTTATCATGACTGACTCAAATTTGGTCTAGGCTGTCAAATCTCTAGTACATTTGTATAACGCTGCTGCTTCCTTTGAGAACGCACACAGGATCACTCTCGAGGAGAAAAGACAACACAGAAAGAACCGTGTCTTGCAGAATATACCATCTAAGGAGTCTTTCTGCTGGGCCTTTTGCAATCGGGCATGTCTGTCTTGTATTGGCCTTATT